ATTTTAAAGGTAAAGGCTATAACAACATCTCCAAACAGCTTGAAGTTCCTGTGACAACAGTGGCTCATATTATTCAGAAGTTCAAGACCCAAGGGACAGTAGCCAGCCTCCCTGGACGTGGCCGCAAGATGACAAATTGAAGAGACGGATCGTTCGAATTGTATCCAAAGAGCCCAGAACAACCTCCAAAGAAATTAAAGGTGAACTCCAAGGCCAAGATACATCAGTGTCAGATCGCACCATTCATTGTTGTTTGAGCCTAAGTGGACTTCATGGGAGACGACCAAGGAGGACACCACTGCTGAAAAGAAATCATAAAAAAACGAGACTGGAATTTGCAAAAATGCATGTTGACAAACCACAAAGCTTCTGGGAGAATGTCCTTTGGACAGATGAGACCAAACTGGAGCTTTTTGGTGAGGCACATCAACTCTATGTTCATAGACTCGAAAACCAAGCATACGAAGAAAAGAACACTGTCCCTACGGTGAAACATGGAGGAGGCTCAGTAATGTTTTGGGGCTGCTTTGCTGCATCTGGCACAGGGTGTCTTGAATGTGTGCAAGGTAGAATGAAATCTGAAGACTATCAAGGCATTCTGGAGAGAAATGTGCTGCCTAGTGTCAGAAAGCTTGGTCTTAGTCGCTGGTCATGGGTCTTTCAACAGGACAATGATCCAAAACACAGCCAAAAACACCCGAGAACTGCTGAGAGAAAAGCGCTGGACTGTTCTAAAGTGGCCTTTCATGAGCCCAGATCTGAATCCCATTGAACATCTGTGGAAGGAGCTCAAACATGCCATTTGGAGAAGACACCCATCAAACCTGAGACAACTGGAGCAGTTTGCTCATGAGGAGTGGGCCAAAATACCTGTTGACAGCTGCAGAACGCTCATTGACAAATACAGAAATCGTTTAATTGCAGTGATTGCTAATCAACAATTCAAAAGTGATGGCTGATTTTGATTATTTAATTTTCAATACATTTTTATTTATTGTTACTTTTGTAAGTTTCGAGTGATTTCAATGAGAATTGTGGGTTTTTCCTTCTTTAACTGAGGGGTACCAACAATTTTGTCCACGTCTGTGTATTTGCTAAACCCGCTAATTTGACACTCAGACCATCAGTCAGTAACTTTGCTTACAAGTCATAAATATGCAAATCAGTAACCAAAGTTTACAAAGTTTTCTGAAGCCCATTTCAGGAATAAGCCTGGGCTAGAAAATGAAGAGATTCAAATTAAAAATTTTGAATTAAAAATAGAGACTTTTTGAGAAAAAGAATCACATTTCCCACACAATTAGACCAATGTGAACAATTAAAAATAAAACACTGTCATGACCCTTTTAAAGCAACTTAGGTAAGATGGCACTTGAAGTGCAAACAATATGCATTAATTGCATTATTTTTTTTAATTAAGCGAATATGGCAACACATTCATTTTGACAGCACTAGTTGAAACATATTGTTCCATCCAAGGGATTGATTTTTAGAAGGATGCATACTCTCAGGTCTCAATATTGACACAAATCGTTTCCTACAGTTGGCTTTCGAGCCATAAACATGCTGTCCCCTTGCTACTTTGAACTTAGCCCCGTTGAGCCTCAAAAACCTTTTTTTATATAAATACTTTATAAAAAAAGGTGTTTCCTTACACCATTTACAAAAAAAAAAAGAATTGCATCCACACATGTTCCACAAAAACACCCAACCATATTAAGACTTTACCAAACCAAGCTGTGACAGTCAAAACATGAATATTGATCATTGAGTTTGCAAAAACATAGGCGCCTCTGTTAAGTGATCAAACAGGAAACTGCTGTAAGGCACAAAAGCGGACTAAACAGGCCTCCTTTAATTTCCTGCGTAGAACCCTAATGTAATTGTTGTTTCGTAGCTTTCAGGATTTAAGTGTGCTAAAAAGTCATATCAGAACTGGTGAACATTTATGTCTGATTGTAGTTTGAAAAGTGGGTGTGGCTAATGGCTCTATAGCACCACATAGTCCGCTTCAGCTTATGTTGCAATTTCAGTTTGTCGTATGTGTATAAAACTCGGTATACATGTCTAGGGTAACAAGACTTAAATATAAGTAAATTGGATCATGTTTCCAAAATCAGCAGGAAGCCGGCTATTATGCCAAAACTTCTGTGATGTACTTCAATGGACTCCTCCTAGAGATTTTATCCATTCATCTACAAATGCCATTAGTCTTATTTTAAGGAATATGGGATTTTAAATTGCACTGTTAGAAGGTTGTCAGTTCGAGGCTCGCCGGTGACCTTCCTAGAAGGAGTTTGCATGTGCTCATGAGTACTCGGTTTATCCCCACAATCCCAAAAACATGCAGCAGGTTATTTGAATAATCTAAATTGATTGTGTGAATATCCACATATATACCCCCCCCCCCCCGCCGCTCGGCCGATCAGACCGCCGTGACCACGAAAGGGAATTAGCTGGTTAGAATGAATGAATGAAATTTGAAAGCTTTTTTGAAACCAATAATCTGTGTACAGTGCCCATTTCTTCAAGTCAACTTTCTCGATTATAGCGCCACCAGGTGGCCACAGGAAATACACCATTTAACATGTAGATTCTTTTCTTTACTTTCAATTTTGACATATGTGACAAGAATTTTTGCCACAATATAATATCTCATTAGCTCCACCTCGAGGTCATGACACTGAGATGCCGTTTTCATTATTTAATTTTCCTGTATTGTTCAGTAATTTTAACAATTCATTTTCTAAATTTGGGATTGATCATTGTGAATAATGCAACAAGCTGGCCACCGAGAGGCGATGGTGTCGGAGGTGCTCGAGCCCTTTGATTGCTGCATGCAGCTTTAATTCTAGTTATAACTATGAGCACTATATCAACATAAAGCTGAGCTGCCTCTTGTGATGAGGCCCAAAACATTGCTTTCTGTTCCAGAAAGCAAAACAAAAAAAAAAACAGATGGCTTTTGAGGCCGGGTGAGGTTGAGATGAGGCCAAAATCCAGACTGCTCTTCCTCTCTTCCTCTGGTTTAAAAGATTATGAGCAGCTAGCTCCACATGTAATGGTCTCAGATCATCTCAGGGAAAGGCAAAATGGTTTGTTGGACAATATAAAAGCATTAATTTCTTGAATAAATATTGCATTAGCGAACCTGATGATATTCTACAACAAAACAGCAATAGAGACGGCAGCCTGTTTGTGGACAGCAGGTGGTGTATCATTTATTTCCAAATATTTGCATTACCCAAACTTCCTTCAGAAATGGGATCACATTGATTTGTTTAGTTTACCCTGTATGGAAAACATTTGTTAACCGGACATGAATAAATTGTATTCTTGATGTAGTAGACAGTTTTATAAAAGGCGCATAAAGGTTTTAATTAAACAAATCATGTGTGGTCTGATGACGAGACTCAAGTGAAATTGTTATCTTCCCCTCCTCCCTCAATGCAGAAATTAATTTCATGAATGGCTAACTTATGCTGGGTAAGGAATTTCCCCAGGCTCCGTAAACATTGGCATTCATTGATTTGTTCTCTCTGAGAACCCACTGATAACAATGAGGCTGGCACAGGATTGAATGTAAAGCACATAGAGGAAATATTGAATGAAAAATTAATTGCCGTAAGTCATCAATCTGTCCCAAAACAAACGTATAACCGTGGAAAACAAGTTTTATTGCTAAAAAAATATGAATACAACCATTTTAAAGTCACATGGAAAATGAAGTTCTTTAATATTTCTAAATGAAACCTTAGAAATCGGGCGCAGTGGGTAGCACTGTGGCTTTCCAGTTAGAAGGTTGCCATCTTTAAATCTAAAGATTTATAATAAAAAGTCTAAAGTTCTGAGCCTGTACTTTTCTAGAGCCTGAATCCATCTCAGATTTAAACCCCCAGAAAAGTCATGGATCACCAGTCATAAACCATCATCCATATACTGGAATTCAAGATCAGAGTCTGAACCTCCCCGAAATCCTGGACCATGGCAAGAATCTATGTTAAAATCTAGCCGAGAGCCTTAATCTGTGCAGATCCCAAGCCAAGAGCCTGAACCTCCTCAGTTCAGAGCCAGAAGCTGAACTCCAACGGATCACATCCCTTGGACTACAAACCAACAACTTCTGCCTACATTTCTGCATTCTGCAGATGCTTTTATCCAAAGCGACTTACATTTGAAAGAATGGACACTTTTTTTGTCCGTTCATGATTTCCCTGGGATTTGATCCCACAACGTTTGCATTGCTAGTGCAGCACTCTACCAACTGAGCCACAGGAAAGCACAGGAAGCACCTTCCACTTGTTCATCGACCACAACTGGCTCCAAATCTTAATTTAGGTGAATTTGAATGTTTTCGTTACCACAAAAGATTGTTCCAAACTTTCCCCTCAAAGTCATACAAACAAACAAACAAAACAAGTCATCAATAAATATTTATATATATATATATATATATATATATATATATATATATATATATATATATATATATATATATAGTATATATATATATATATATATATATATATATATATATATATATATATTTTAAATGTAGCCCTTAAAAATAAAATGACCAACAATATTGATACTCAATCAATCGGCGGGTTCCAGAATAGATCGGTTAAACACTGTCAGAACTCACACACAGATATTGGACTCACTGCTTCAAAGCGCGGAGTTATCTGCTTCTCCACATCCTACAGTCTCTCCTCTCGCCTCCTCAAGACTTTGGGACGCCTCTGCTGGACTTAATCAGCCTGATTCTGTTCTGTCTTCATGGAGTGATTAGAAAACGATTCAAAACTTTTGCTGCAGCCATTTTCCACCTTGAGCACCTCTGACACCATCGCCCCTTGGTGGCCAGTTTGTTGCATTATTCACAATAACCAATCCCTATTTAGAAGATGTATTGTACCGAGAATTGTTAAAATGACTGAACAATGCATCAAATGTATTCATAGTTTGATTGTTTTTCTTTATTCTTTCTACGAGGCCAGCTAAAGACGCTAACTGGTTGGTTTAATGGCGTTATGATGTTTTGGGAAACACCAGACTGGCGTTTATCGCAGTTTAGAAAGAAACAGACAAAAGTAAAGGCAAAATGTATTGTAGGCTTTTCAAAAAATACACTTCTGATTTGGCACTAACTCGTTTTTGAGCCAAACTTCTCAATTCTCAAGAATAGCTTCAATATTTCGCTACTTCTGGTTCCCACTCATCTTCTTCATTTGGTGAATCCCCTGAAGTATATCCTTATGTACATCTTATCTTGTATAACTGTTTTTAAACTTAATTTCTCCTCATCCCCCCGTCTTCTGTGCAACCGTACAGATCACGATTACCAAAATTCAGTATTCGGCCAACATGTGATCTTTAACAACAATTACATTTGAACCATAAATGTTAGGCTTCTGAAAGTGTTTTCATATCCAAGCAAACAATACTGTAGCTCTGCTCAGGCTTTGCCGGGGTGGGTTGGTGCCAAATCCTGCTGAAAAATTTAATCAGCGTCTACATAAAGCTTCACTTACTGAAAACTACAGTTGGTTTTAGTGCAATCCACTCATCTTCCAAATTTACTTTCATCTGAAAGAAAAACACCAGCTCAGGTGGAGTACTTGTGATGTTTCTGGTTCAGGAATGGAGTCAGTGTCTAGAAAAAGTCGCTGGAAAGTGGTTGTTGATGCTCTGACAATAGCCTCAGTCCACTCTTTATTCTAGTTTTTGATGGTGCACCAATTTCAACCAGTTTGTCATTCCACTGAACTGTCCATACAGGTTCTGGGACACAGCACTCTTTTCGAAACAGTTTTTCAGATGTACTTAAATATAATAATCATTTTTTTGTTCTAGAGAAGTGAATTTGCAGGCAAGAACTCCCTCTACAAAGCTCATACTTAACCATGGGGAAAAGATTCAGCGGTGGTATCAGGTCAGACTAAAAACAACCATTTATCCCCATTTAAAAGCAAACTGCATCTTTAACCGATTGTTTTTTTTGAAACTTTGCCAGTAATTATCATTTTGTCCCAATGATTTCCCAGAAGACGTTTTCCTGAGAAGCATCATCATTGGCTGCTCTCTTCAAGTAGATAACCAATCATAGTCTAGGAAACTGTATACATTACACAATATTTTTGTTTAGTTACATGTAAACCAATTAAATATGATGCAGAAAAAATCTGGACGAAAACAACTCAGAAATTCACTGAAATGAACAATACCATAAACATTTAAAAAAAAAATATAATATAAAAAAGTTTGGGGTTGTGTTATAAGTAAACAATGACAGAATGTCCTTTGTTTCTATATTTAGCATCTGTATTAAACCATTAAATACTCGCTTACCTCCAAAGTAAGAGCCATCTGAGATTTTTGTCTCCTTGCTGCCCTTTGTCAGGACAGTTAGGACACCGTGTTGGATGAAATACATCTTCTTCCCGACTGTCCCCTCTCTGATAATGTAATCTCCTGGCTGGAACACCTCGAAACGTAACTTCGTGAGCATGGAGGTCACAAAGTTGGGATCCGCATTGGCAAACAATGGCATGGTGGCCACCAGCTTTCGACAGTTGAAGCTAATAATTTCCTTTAAATAAAGAATGGTAAATAAGTTAGCGATATTAGAAAGACTGCATGTAAGAAAAGTCAACGTATAGCTAAACATTATTACAAACCTCTCTGAGCGGCTCGTTCAGTTCTCCCAGAATGCTTTCCTCATCAAACATCTTGCCCTGATAGCGATGCTCGTAATAATCATGAATCCTCTGCCGCATATCTGCTGGAAGTTTGTGGAAAGACATGTACTGCTCCACCTGCTTGTACTTCAGAAAGGACACACAAAAATATATATATTTGTAAGTCTTATATCAAAAACCTCGTCCACAGAGAATATTTGGAAACTTAAAGATGGCACTGGCGGTGGGCACTCTAAAAAAAGGTTCTATTTCGAACCAAATGTGGCTCTTTGGCACGTAGTCATAGGGGAACCTTTTTTGGTGCCATGTAACACTCATTTATGAAATAAAGAAACTTTGGCATGATATATCTGACCAGCATCTGTAAATACCACATTCAAAACAAGGAACTACTTTAGAACCACAAATACTAAAAAGGCCAATTTAAAGTGATTTTGCAGTATCTCAAAAACCGCAAAGAACCAAAAAGAGCTTTAGGGGTTCTTTAGAGTGAAAAAGTGCTATAGAGAACCTTCGAATCCGCAAAGAACTGGTGAAGAAGCGTTTTTGTGAGTGACCTCCTGATGAATCATCACCCTGAGCACTCTGAAAATTACATCTTCCCCCATCTGAGCATTCATCTTTCCCTCAATAATAACTGGTTCACGTTCAGAACCCTACATCATCATGATGCCACCACCATGCTGCACATAGAGACGGTATTATCCAGGTGATGAGCAGTGCTTCTCCTAACTTGATCCCTGGTATTCCTATTAAAGTTAAATCTTAGAGATGTCTCTGGGCAAGGCTTGATGAGTGATATGCTCTTGAGATGGTTGGCCTTCTGGAGGATTCTGTTCTAGTACTTATGACAACCATTTTATTGTTTACATGTGACAAAACCCATTTATATGAGTTAATGGGTTAATAATTTAGGCCTAAACCCAGCCATTCCCCCTTCTCCCTTCCAGCAATCTAAGTTTTAGTCACTGTTTTTGATGAAAATTTTTATAGTTTTAGTCGCATTTTAGTCATTTAAAAATGTAATAGTTTTAGTCAACGAATGTCAAAATCTAGTTTAATTTTAGTCTTGTTTTAGGCAGCAAAAATTAAAAGGTTTTAGTCTAGTTTTAGTCAATGTAGATTAATATTTAGATGATTAAAAATTGTCTTTTAATAAACAAATTGAACTTTTTAAATATTAAATATGGTGTATTTAAATTTATTTCATGAATTAATGCAAAACTAGCATGATATATACCATTCAGATTTTGAGAATTGTGGCTTTATTCTTAGCAATTTAAAGTGCAATAAACATATGTATGTCAAAATTAAGAGCAATGTAGTAATAATAGCATGTACTTACATATTTATTTACGATGAAATTATGGTCATTGAAGTTTTGAAACAAAATGGATAAATTTCAAGTTCTCAAAGAATTTAAAGTTTTGCACATAACTCCAGGCTAAAATAGACGGCTAACTTGGCAAATGTCCGCTGCAGTCTATGGTCTATTACCACAGATCTTCGGGTGTGTTGGCAGCAAATATCATTTCAGCATTTCAAGCCCTTTTTTGAAGCTGTTTATCATCAAATAGAACAATAATTCTCAACATGTCACCTGAGAAGTTGGGAGTTTAGGGACCGTCTCAGATGCCTGGTGCCATGTTTACTGTGTGCGCAGCCCATCCGGTGGTGTGCGAAACCAGATAAGGATAACAAGCGCCGGTGGATGCTTTATATTTTAAATGATAAATAACAGCCACGAATCGTGAAAAGTGAAAACGTGTAACCGTCCATTCATAAACATTTCTTGTGTTCGTTAACATTAAAAGAAAAAGACACTTGCTGCAGATGGCACCCGTCATTTTTTCGAATGCCTAGCAATTGAATGTAACGTATTTTGAACGTGGAGTGGGTGTTGGTGCCATCTACTCATCACATAGAACTATTTTTACAGTTTATAGGCCCAAAAACGAGAAAATATCTAGTGAGGGGCAGTTCTATAATCCCAAAGGCTTTGTTGAGGTCAAAGGAGAATGGCCAGACTGGGTCGAGCGGATAGAAAAGCAACATTAACCGCATATAAACCTTTGAAGTGATGTTTAAAAGCCAATGTGACATAAACCAACCCCCCATTTCTCAATTATTTTCCTAAGCTGAAATAGACACAGGCCAAACTGGTTGCTAAGGTAAACCGTCTGGTTGCTATGGAGGGGTCAGTGACAATATAATGTTGCCTTTGTTACTATACGCTATTTAAACCAACCCCTATGTCTCTATCATTTACCAAAGCTGAGATAGAGTTCTGTGGTATGAGGTTGCTAGGCTAAACAGTTTAGTTGCTAGGGAATTGTCAGTGATGTCATAAAAATGTAAGTAATATGACAAACCACAGGGTGTGATCAGCGTTGCCAGCTGCGACGCATCACCTGTGTGCTCTTAAACGCAAGAGCAGCCAGTGAGAAAACTGGCTGTTCAGCACTGGAGGAAGCAGACTATTTTCCTCCACAAGGAGCAGTGTATAGATCCCACAAGAGCCAAGGGATCTGGGTCTAGAACAGGGGTGTCAAAACTCATTTTCACAGAGGGCCACATTAG